CCTCCACAGCCAATTAAATCACAACAAAGCAACTGTACTGAGCAAAAACAAAACAACTGTAGCAGCAGCAGCAGCAGCTAGCAGGGAGGCTAAAAAAAAAAAAACAACTTACCAAACATAGACGTTCCTTCTTAACAGGCATTTGGAAAGTGTAAGGCGTTCACTAAAGACAGTTAAAAGGACATAAATGATTAGTTCACTACAGTTATAGCCCTTGATAAGCAGCTTTTTATGTGGCTCAGAAGCCAAGATCTGGTCGACTAATAGCACTTTCAGAACCATTAAACTCTGCCAAAGAAGCTCAACTTCTCAGCCCTGTCCTTTTCCTGTTTTAGTGTCATATGGTGATTTTATGTAGAGCTTTAAGATGTAGTTATTTTAATTTTCTTGAAAATAAAGTTGATCATTGAGACTCTTCTACCATTTCATTCATTTATTTATTTAAAGACATGTTTGTCTTTAAATACTCTATACTGAGTGTAGTTTGAACTTCAAGTAAAAAAACAAACAAACAAACAAACAAATGTTCATCATTTGTCCCATCAGTTTTATTCACAAGGCCAATATGGAGTCATACTGTTATTCCCTAACCATAACATGACCCTCTGATATTCTAAACCTGAAACTGCTGACACGCAACATTTTTACATGAACTTTGATTTCCAGGAGAATGACTGACTGACTGACTGACGCTCTTTCATCATATCATTTACAACATCCCATGCGACCCCAGTGCAACTGACAGGACAAAGAAGCCAAACCTGTCCGTGTTGGATTGGTTTAATAAGTAAATATAATGTGATTTTTCACACCGCCTGCACTTGCAACACAGCACTGTCGAGATCTCAGAATATTTATGACATGTCCCTCAGCCAAGGCCTCATGTTGCGACACTTCCAGGCTTAGTTGGCAGCATTAAATCACATTCTCTCAGTTGAATAATTTAGAATTTATGGAACATAACAAATGTTTTTTTTCCTCACTCATTTGATTACAGAGCACAGTGTGCACACATTAGATCCACCAAGACTCTTATGGATGTCTTTTTTCAACATGAATAAAATAGAACATGACTGACGGTAATTAGATTGTTTAGATAATTACAAAAAAAAAGAAAGAAATAATTCTGTTTTAGCAGGATCATTACATGAGTGACGTGACAGACAGAAATACTGAGGCCACTTAAGTATTCAGCTCATTTCTGAGCTGAGTGGGAAAATTAACTCACTTCTTGCTTTTAAAATCAATGATTGTTTATCATCACTAGTTTTGGTGAATAGCTTTCAAACTTAGCAGAAAACAGAGAAAAATGGCAATATTTATACATTTTGGTGAATGTTCACACCATGTACTCCAACATCACATCAAGCTTTCAAAATGTTTGAGTTTCACCAGAATTGCCATCATATTTTAGTAGAGATGGCATAAAACTAGTGACCAGCTCTAAAGGTTAATTAACTCTAAAGGTTAATGTTCATTAAATATTATAAATGTATTATACAGATTGAAAGCCCAATTTATTTTACATGTGGGACTTGTACAAACTACAGCAGCACATTTCTCAACTTTAGTCTAGGGAAGCTTTGTTGCAGGGAATTGTTGAATCTGAAGTTGTGGGGCTATAAAGTTATAAGGTTCAGGACTGCTTTTCAGAACCAATGTCTAATAGTTGAATGTCTTCAGAAACATAGGCTATTTCTAAGTTTTGTCTGTATTTAAAACATGTGACAAACTGCAACACAGCAGATTAATGTTAACCTGAATGTAGCCAACAGTGTCTGATTTTGCTATCGAAGCTACATTTTTAGGTACCGAAAAGTAAATATTTTAGTATATTTGTTGTTTTGTTTTAGTTTAAGTAAAGTAAAGTTTAAGTAAAACAGACAAAAAAGACCAAAATCTCTGTAGTAAAACCTTTAATCACATGATAAACTTGGTTCCCACATACTTCTATTCATTTACAGCAACTTTCAAAACTAGTGAAATTTGTGGCCAAATCAACATCATTGTTAAATATTTAAAGACACTGTCATTTGTTAGGCTTTGGACAAAGTTGTCGAAAAACTACTGAAAATTGAGCACAGCTTTTCAATCTATGAGTGTTTTCCCTATTGAGATGAATACAAATATTGTACTAGACAATGACTGAAGTCTGTGGTGCACAGGAAAGTGAACAAGTCAGGCGTGAGTCATATGTGAGACTTTAATAAAAGTAAGGCACCAGCTTGTAGTCGTACTGTTTTGATGTGGACAGAAAACCTCTGTTAAAGGCTTATTTTTATTGGACTCTATATCCTCTTCCCAAATATCCCCTTTAATGAAAGCATTAAATCACACAAAAGCACATCAGAAACCACTCACAGAGAAGAGGCACAACTCTACTTTTCTGATGTTTTCAAGAGCTCTGCCTCCAGGTCAAACTGCTGCTTCCATTTGTTGACAAATGTTCCCGAGACTCCTTTACAAACCTTTGCATTTCTTTTATTTAACCAGACAAAAGCAGTGAAAAGTCAGAAAAATGTACAATTTTGTTTTTAACCAGTCCTGCCAACAACAGATGTCAATTACTGAGTACAAGTTTAACAACACACACAAAGACACCGGCTGAAGTTAGCTTCACCGGCTAATGCCTCTATGGGCTAATGACAATGGGTGAATGGGCTCAGTCTAATTCCTGGCACATACAAGTACAAACTGTATGATTGTGAATGGAGAAAACGCTTGGAAGAAGACACTTCACAGGACTACAGCAGCATAAAAGCCTCAACGCGCTTCCACAAACTACAGCCGTGTCGCCTTTGCTGCATGTGCTCCGTGTTCACCGGTGTCACCCAAGTGTTTTGGTACAGACATTACACTGCTCCTCGCTGCCAATCACTGCTACTCACTGGCGTTAGCCGCTAACGTTAGGAACAGCAAACAAGTCTTTGAGCTAACGAGCTAGTGCATGCTAATGGGTAAATTAGCCACAGAGCTAACGAGAATGAGTATATCCACCTCTGATTCTGTTTTCATATCTGTCATTCTCTCCTCGCTTCAGTGATGCACGTCAAAGGTTAAAACAGAACAAGGTGTGTGTGTGGCGAGTGTGACTTACCTTAAAGAGCTTGATCTACAACATCTGTGGTGTGTTTGATGGGAGACTGCAACAACAAACAATAGCAGCAGCAGCACTGGGGCAATTAGCCAACGTTAGTGAGCCAAGAGTCGCCAGTCACTCACACACAGTGTAATAGAGCAGCTGCAGTGCCACCTGTATGGCTGCTCTTAAGGAGCAGCAATACAACAACGAACGCACGTTGGACACAATGCTGTCATAAATGATGGAGTTCAGAATAAGGAGAGAGAGTAAACGTTGCCGGGATTCTCTGACTGCTATGTGTACGTGTGTTAATGTGTGTATGTGTGTGTGAGGCATTCAGCATGACAGCATCCTTCTTCGTCTTGGGGCGAGAACAGTTGGGGGGTTTCTCAAAGTTCAACTGGTAAAATATCGCCACCGGCTGGCCAAAAATGAGAATTTCAATCGAAACAAAGTCCCATTAGTTTATCTGCCAACACCATTAAGAAAAACCTGAAACACTGACTGAATTCGACGAAAAATTCAATTCAAATCAGGTGATAAAGGTTCCTTTCTGCTGATGATCCTAAAGACTGTAATAATTCTGACTGCGAAGTTTAAAAATATTGAACTCAATAAATTATTAACAAAATAATTTTGGATTATAATATTTTGATTTCAGAGTTTGACATTAAAGTAGCACAGCAGACCCAAAGCCTAAATGTTTCTTTAAATAAAGTGATCAGAGAAATAAGAAATATTACTAAAGAGAATAAAAAAAAAGGTCAGCCTATTACCAAAATCTTAAATTTAATTCAGAAATTAAGAGATAAGAGATTATTACATGACTTTGTTCCAAATGTAATAGAACAACTTCAGAATCAGAATAGAATTGGAGAATTTGACAATCTTTTTGTGGTTGTGAATATAGATTGCATATTAAGTAATATATACATTTCTTGTGATTTATGAGGATTTTTTTTACAATTTAAAAAACAACTAAAAAAATCAAGTTATAAATGGTTTTAAACAGCCAGACGGACTGTGACATTTTCTGTATTTTAAATGAGGCCCAATCAAGTGTGCAGTATTCAGAACAGCCTGAACATTTGATGACCTTCAGGCTGCTTTATTATCCGTGTTAGAAATACCACATTTTCACTGCATACATATGACCACAAGATGGCATCGGACACAAAGAAAAGCAAGGATTTCTGCACTGCAGTCATAAAGAAAGTCTTTGTATTAAAATCTGTGTTGATGTTAATTAAGAAGTCAGGAGAAATTATTCCGGCAGGTAGATTTCTTTTCACCGCTTATCTGTGGGAAAGGTTCAACTCGCTCATTTGTTGCTAAAGAGAGCCGACAGATGACTTTAGCAGAATCTGTTATGTTTAATAGGTGAGAGTCTTTGTGTCAGTGATTTGTAATACATCTCCTAGGTGATGGCACAACAATGGAGGCAGGTTCAGACAGGCCTCACACAAAGTGAATTGGTGTGGCACAAACCCAGCTGGCAATCCCCCGAGGAGCCATAGCACATCTGAATAGAGTCTCATTTATCTAAGCAGAGCCTGCAGTACAAAAAAGAGGCTGCTTTAAACTTCCACAGTCTTTTTACCCCGAGGGACAGAGATGGTGCCTCAAAGCACAGAGCTCATGTTTCTGCCTCACACTGATGCTCAGATTACATCACACACGGAGAAGGGAGAACCTCTGCTCTGCTGCAGACACTTCATCTAAAAGAACGTTTTAAATCATTTACAAATACAACTTTGTCAAACTTTATATTTATGAGCTAAAAATATATACTTCAGATTTAGGGTTTTTTTACTCCTTTGGTATTTTAGATCTTGAAATAAACCGAGTTTACTCCTTCGGTATTTTAGATCTTGAAATAAACCGAGAGAAAGACGGAAATAAGATGCTAACACCACAGTTCAAACTATAGAGTTTATTATATTTGATATATTTCTGCCAACGCTCACAGCAGCACAAGACCTCGTCAAATGTAACACGTTGCACGTACAGTACTCTTACACTGCTTGTACTACAGTAACAGTAGCTCAAATACTCAGTAGAATCGTGAGAAGCTGAACGGAAATTCTCTCATCACACGGTTACACAAACACAGACAGGAAGTGAGACACAGGAGCTAGAAGCACAGTATGAGGATGAGCCTAACTGTGGTCGTATTAGGATGTGCTGCGGGTGTCTCCATGTCGCAGACCACAGATTTGGACCTTGGGTTTCAGCAGTGTTGTTTCCGTCTTCTCAGACGGGGGAGGCGACCTAGCGTGGCGTACAATATTTGTGTGGTTGACTTATTAATGAGTATTGAACACACCGAGGCCAGGAGGTGGGAGACTTGCTCAGATGGGGTGTCTGAAGTTCTGGCCGGCGAAACGGGCCTTGTCACCGAGCTCCTCCTCGATCCTGAGGAAAATAATGACAGTTTGTTAATGTGGACAGATCTATAATCTGAGGTCATCTGGAATAATGACACCAGGCCAATAAGGAGAGGACACTCAACTCAGACTGTCACACTTATGGACAATAAAGTCCATTTAAATTTCATTCTGAATCAGTAAATGTGACAGCTGTATTCTAATGTTGGCACCAAGACATCGGGCAACATTAGTTTGGCTTCTGTAAAACTTATTCTAACTTTGAATAAAAAAAATAAAAAAATAGTTGTAAACTCCTGAATAAAAAATAAAAAAAATAGTTGTAAACTCCTCGTATGTCTTGATTTTCTGTAAAACAGTGTCTCTTATGTCTTGATTTTCTGTAAAACAGTGTCCAAAAAGTTTAATAATAATAATAATAATAATAATGATAATTGTTGTGCAGGTGCAGTAACAGTCTGACGTCTTCTATTTGTCACTATTATCTTTACCTTTGATAGATTTTTTTATCTATATTATATTTTGTAGTTTTCTAATTCAATATTAAAGTTAAGTTTTATTGATCCTGCACTGGGGACATTTTTAAAAGTTTGATTAGCAGAGGATGGTTTCGATCCATCGACCTCTGGGTTATGGGCCCAGCACGCTTCCGCTGCGCCACTCTGCTCTACAACAATACAACAATATACAAAGTCAAGTCCTCAGTGTGGATAAATGAACCTGGTGATAAACAGAGTCTGATTCTAGAGCACAAAGGTGGCATGTAGCCAGACATTACAGGGATAATGCTCACTCAATATCACTTATCATTCTGTTAGAACAGGTCTTCTTTTACAAATGCTGACAGCGCCCTCTGTTGGACTACAGAGCTCACAGTCTTAGTCATCCTCAAAAATCATTGGAACTTTTGAATGTGAACATTCACGCTCATTAATGAATATCAAGATGACAGTAGGTGACGGCCGTGGCCCGACTGAGTCTCAGATCATTACAGGTTTCTACTGGACTTACCTGAGCAGCTGGTTGTACTTGGCCAGACGCTCAGATCGGCAGGGAGCTCCTGTCTTGATCTGTGGAAAAGAGTTTTGAAAATTAACAGCAACAACATGTACATGATGTCAACATATGAGACATGAGATGAGCCGTCACCTGTCCAGTGCAGAGACCGACCACCAGGTCAGCGATGAAAGTATCCTCTGTCTCTCCGGAGCGATGGCTGACCATCACACCCCAGCCGTTGCTCTGAGCCATCTTGCACCTGACGGTAAGGACAAAGGTCAGTTCTCTCTGAAGCTGGAGACTATATATTATTTTTTTTCCTCATTGTATTTCGGCAGCAGGTGTAACCGTGCGGCTGTGCTGTGGAGACACTCACGCCTTCAGGGACTCCGTGACGGAGCCGATCTGGTTGACTTTGAGCAGCAGGCAGTTGCAGGCCTTCACATCCACGCCCTTGGCGATGCGTTTGGGGTTGGTCACGGTGAGGTCATCACCTACTACTTGGATACCGGTGCTGGCTGTGAATTTGGACCATGCCTCCCAGTCATCCTGGTCAAAGGGGTCTTCAATGGACACAACTGTGAGGATATGAAAAAAAAATTCTGTGTTATTTCAAAGAACCGGTACTGGTCTCTATTTAAACCCTAAATCTGCAGTGATATTGTCTGACCACAAGGGGGAGTAGAATCCCATTGCAATATACACCAGCTTGGTTCTATAGCTGTAGACATTGTATTGAATGAAATTCCTTAAAAAATAAATAAATAGGTCAAATAAAATACTGCTACGCTTTTTTTTTTTTACTGAACTCACCAGGATAATCGCTGACAAAGCTCCTGTAGAGGTCGGCCAGCTTGTCAGAGGAAATGTAACGGCTGGGGTCGTCAGGAGACTTGAAGTCCAAATCATACTTTCCATCCTTGTAGAACTCGGAGGCAGCCACATCCATACCAATAACAATCTTGTCACTGTAGCCAGCCTTGGCGATGGCATTCTTCAGCAGCTCCAGAGCTGGGGGAAAAAAAAATCAATATGTTATAAAACAAATGTATGTTTCCACCAGTTCTGCCAATGACACCAAACATCATTTCTGTAAATTGGGGTCTTGATATTGTCACAGCTGTATCATCTCTGTCTCTGTACTCTGCTATGGAATCTACACATCTGTTGACTATGTGTAATTTTAAAGTAGAATATATGATAACTTTACTACTGCTTTGTCTGTGTTTATTTATTTTTAAAATTCAATGAAAAAAAGTTTAAAAAGAAAACAACAAAAAACAATTTTTTCATTAGTTTCTCATTGCTCCTGAAGCCTCTGCTCCACTGGGGCATTTGCCATATCAGCATCTTGACTTGACACTGGCCTTAATTTAGAAACCCCCCCCCCCCCACCCCTCTCTCACCAAGGGAGTGTGATGATAAGTAGAGCACTTCCCTGTGCTCTATCATCCAAAAATGCTTCCCAAAGACTCACTGTTGACGACTCCAGATTGTGAAGAGCAACATTAGACGATGTCCTTATATTTGTTTCCAATTAACAATTAATGCTGGTGAGTGTTTGTTCTCGCAGTGGAACAAAACTTGAACTCACCCTCCTTGTTCTCCAGGATGTTGGGAGCGAAGCCTCCTTCGTCTCCGACGTTGGTGGCATCCTTGCCGTATTTCTCCTTGATGACGTTCTTCAGGTTGTGGTAGATCTCAGCGCCGATGCGCATGGCCTCCTTGAAGCTGCTGGCTCCCACAGGCAGGATCATGAACTCCTGCATGGCCAGCTTGTTGCCTGCATGAGAGCCTCCATTGATGACGTTGAAAGCCTGAAGTAAAGCAAAACCAAAGATGACATTGTGTCCGTGTCAGGCCCTTTTAGAATAAAAGACATTTATGATCTTATGTTACCGGACCTTAAAATAACTGCTCTGTCATACTCACAGGGACTGGAAGAATGACTTCGGGGTTGCCAGCCAGGTCAGCGATGTGGCGGTAGAGGGGGACGCCCTTCTCTGCTGCACCAGCTTTGCACACAGCCAGGGACACACCCAGGATGGCGTTAGCACCAAACTTTGCTGAAAGAGGTCAAACACAAACAACGTCAGCATTTTCCGATTCTACTGCAGGGGTCACCAAATATATTTCTCAAAGACACAGAACTGCTCTGGTCAGATACCCTCGGGGCAACTTTGGAATCCAGTCAGGAGCCAGATTCAGCCTGCGGACCGCCACTTGAAAATCACTTGTCTACACTGTTCTACATTTAGCTAAAGTTTAAGAAACTCATCAGAGAGGGAATATAAGAATTACAATCACACTCTCTATATAAAGCCATTGTCAAATCCAGAGCTGCTCTGTCATTAATTAAATAAAACACTTACACTTGTTATCTGTGCCATCCATGTCCAGCATCAGCTGGTCGATCTTCTCCTGCTCCCGAACATTCACCTCCTGGATTTGAAACAATACGACACGTTATCCTATGTGTACGCGTATACACATGAGAGCCTAACTACATGCAGTCAGTTTTGAATAAACACATTGTAGTATTGTTAGAATAACAGCATGAGTACACATGACACGAGTACAACACTGACGCTCTGCTTATGTGACCAATTATTTTAACACTGAAATTTTCTCCAACAAAAGCTGCTCCACAGATTAACCTTAATGGAACGCATAACACATTCACTCAAACTGTCACCATGTGGAGTGTGTCAGTACTGCTGTTAATATTTTAATATTCATATTTCACATTGTTGCAATTCAGAAACTTGACAATCATGATTAGTCAAACAATAAATGGGCCTACCTTGCTAACCAGTGCAGGTGCAATTATTTTATTGATATTCTCAACAGCTTTTGAGACACCTGCAAAGGGACAAGCAGACCGTGACTGACCCAGACAGTAGAAGACCATTCAGCACAGACAAGACAGATGACCACAGAACAGCCCATCCATTCTTAGAAGGATGTTAATCAGGTGGGGGTTTTTTTTGTTTGTTTGTTTGTTTGTTTTTTTAAATCAAAATGAGGATGAAATAAAGATTTCCATCTCTGACTGTGATCGGCATTAGTGACTGGTTTGTTTCAGGATCTGTGAACATCTGTTAATGTCTGCAAAGATTAGTTTTTACAAAAGGCAAACCCATTCTCCATGCTGCTGTGCACGGCTGTGCGCAAAAGTCAACCTGTTACTTCACACTGTATTTACCTGGTTACACAAGGCAGGGGCCAAGAATTCATTTACATATTTAACTGCTCTTTTGACTCCTTAACAGGAGGGAGGGAGGGAGGCAGGGAGGAGGGGGAGATCGTGGAACCAGAGGTGGAGATGTGAGAAGAGATGAGAAGAGAAAGCAGAATGAACAGTGTAAAGACGTTCAAAGGTAGGAAGAACAGAACACAGGTTGAAATGTGTTAGAAAACCCTTACCTTTGCCCATGTATCTGGTTTTGTCATTGTCACGGAGCTCCAGTGCCTCATAGATGCCTGTGGAGGCACCGCTGGGTACTGCAGCTCTGAAAAGACCTGAAAGACACGGAGGACATTTTGTAATTCTCATTCCCTAAAATGCCGTGTTACTTCCAAGCCTTGACGTTAAAGATGAAGCATTAACCATTGATCAGGGAACATCTGACTAGTATGAAGCATTTTCAGTGCTGCATAAACAAATATGTGCGTTTATAGCTTTAACCACCAGGGGCCTTTTTAGTATTCAGTGAGCAACAGCAGGAGAGGGACATTTAACTGAGACTGTCTTCTGCCAAGACACTCTGAACAGAGAGGGAACTACAGCACAAATAGAGGAAGTGGTGCTGGCTGCACTGCAGAGGACTGTGATGTAACAGAGGGAGACAAGCTGCTAACTGAGCATGTGCAGTGCATCTATGGAAGGATGAAAGCCAGACACATGCGTACAGGTCTTTCATTTCGTCTTCAACCGTGTCAAAAACAATTGGGAGGAGTAAAAAAAATTAAAATCCATTCCGTCTCCTCGGAGCCTGTGGGGCCCAAGTGATTTAGAGCAGAGTTTGGTCCTCCATTTTAGAATTATAAATGGTAAATAAATGAACAAGCTGCGGCTCAAAGACATTATGTTTTATATACTGTATGCTTTAAACACCCAAATACTGAGCATATGTCACCATTACATGAACGGACAACTGTGATTTCCACACCAATATTCCCATCATACTGCAGAGCAGATTACATCACAGAGAGCGCCCTGGATTACTGCCATAACATCATCAGTCACTGTAGGTTTTTCACTAGG